ATGAATAAGTCCCATATTAGCACTGGATATTTTTTAAACAAAACTTTTACAATTCTTGGAGTAAAGTCATGTCTGAGGTGGATGACTATGATTGACTAAACCTAACTGAAAGAGGCTGATCTATATCTTCGATTTGCCAAAGACTGAAAACTGATTTTTAATTAGAATAATTATGATTAGATTATCAAAATTCAAATGCTGCTCAGATGCAGTTTAGATGAACCAACAGCAACCTGTGGTGTGTTATATAATCAGACAGATCAAAGCGCGGCACTGTTTTTTTAGCAGCAGCATGGAGTCCAGTTTGTCCTGGCTCAAGCAGACATTGGTTCATAGGTGTGGAAGTGGATTCCCTTGGAGCAGGTGATCTTCATCACTGCTCCATTCAGACTGGAGTCCATGATCAACGTCATCATGCCCTCTGCTATCAGTGAGGGCCTGCACATGAGCACAGAGAAGAAGGAGAACATAAGGCTGAGATTATACCCACACACAAATGAAAGTGAACAATAATGGGAAACACTTTTTTGTTAAAATAAATTATGTGTGTTTATGTGAATTTACATCTAGAGAATGGAGGCACATATGGAGATGAATTGTAATGCCTGGTGTAAACTGACAAACTCAAAGCTAAACACTTATGATTGGATCACTGATGATAAACGTTAACACCAGGTCAGAACAGGGTCTATGGGTGTGTGTGTGTCAGAAGGTCATATGGCCTCAATTTTCTCTAATAGAAATACTTCCTGCTGTACAGTTTTAACTTTTAAATGTTAATCAGCACAGAGCACACTTTGGTCACATAATCTGATCAATGCTCATTATTAACTGTAATAGTGAGCTTTGGCACATCATACTATTATACATTGTTTTATTAAATTTTCTAAGCCCTCCTGTTATGTGTAGAGCAAGAACATACATTTGTTTACTTTCATTCTCATTCAGAACTCCAAAAAATGTCAAGTCTCCTTCAACAGCCAAATGAACTGGAGCACTTGTGTGTAACAAGAATATAATCAGAACAGAGTCAGACAAAGGCCAGAAAGTGGCAGAGTAGCTCGGACATAACTGTGTTTGCAAAAAATAAATCTAACAGTTTGAGGGTCAGTTACCATGATGGTCATGTACACTTCTAAATAAACTGCATTAAATATGATCACGTCACACTTGTCAAGTTCTTTTGTTTTACAAAATATCTAGCAGAACTTAATAAACTGTTCACTTTGTTTTTGGAATTCAATAAGCAAAGGTTTGCATGCTTACATGTTCAACTGAGATAATGTACATGGCAACTGCAAAATATCAACTTGTTGGTCACTGACATGCTATCAGTGACCAGTGGAATCTTGCTCAAATCACCACTGTGCCCAAGTTCATGGCTATTGAGTCATACAGTGGTTCATCTGGTTCATGAATAAAACAGAAATTGAAATTATAATTTCATGTCATAAAGTTATAGAATATTTAGCCCCCTTTATATGTGCATGCCAATACATGTTTTTAATAAAGGTTCTTGGCTAGCAACATTGCATAAAAAAATGATTTCCATTACCATATGTTATGTCTAATTTTTTTTTGTATTCTTAGCTCCAATGACGGCTGTGGTGTCTACCTGCCCCACTCTATTTAATGCAATATCTCAAAAACACAAAGGGATTTTTTTCAAATTTGGCTCAAACCTTCACTTGCACCAATAAAACTGTTAATACCCACTACTAATTCAAAGCACTGTTGTCCTTGTAAAATATATTTAGTCTGCATTAAAGCTAAGAAACAGATTTAAGGAGGAACGTAGACAGGGTTGTTTTAGTCAGTGACTCACTGTAAAACTCCGAACTTGTGCATGCTGCGTTTGAAATCATCCTTGAACTTGACAAACTTGCCCATGTTGTCCTCATGTTCCACCGAGTGCAGCAGAGGAGTGTTGACGAAAGCTGGACACAGGACGTTGATACGAACACCGTAGTTACCCTGAGTAGATGCATCCTGGAAGGACATGTGGAATGATAGATAGATAGATGTACTTTATTGATCTCAATTTGGGAAATTATTGTATCACAGCAGCAGGTCAGTTCACAAAGAGTAAAGAACAAAAGGCTAAATACAAGAGACGACAAAAGAGACAAGGTGCAAAATTGCAGTATTTGTTTGAAACGTGACTAAAGTCATAAATATGATTATAAGCTTTGCAGTAAAGAATGAATGTGAATATAATATGTGCAAAAAAAACCCAGTTATTGCAGCTGTAATCTGAGAGCTGGTGTGGATAGAAACTATAAGAGGTGAGAATTGTACACTCCAACCAGTTTGTTGGAGAAAATGTTTCATTGTCTGTCCACCAGGTGGTGGAGAGGGTGCTCTTGATTGTCCATGATGGATAACAGTTTGTTCAGTGCCCTCCTCTCTACCACCACTTCAAAAGAGTCTGGTTTGCAGCCAATGACGGAGCCAGCCTTCTTACTCAGCTTGTTATGTCTGTTGCTATCACCAGCTCCTGTGCTGCTCCCCCAGCAGACCAGAGCAAAGTACACTGGCAACAACAGACTGCTAGAAGATTTCCAACATCTTGCTGCACACGTTGAAAGATCTCAGCTTCCTCAGGAAATAGTCTGCTCATTCCTTTCTTTAAACAGCTTTGGTATTGGTTTTCCACTTCAGTCCGTTGTCAATGTGGACGCCCAGGTATTTGAAATCCTCCACTGTGAGAACATCCTCTCCCAGAATATGCAGTGGCTGTGAAGCCGTCCTCTTCCTCCTGAAGTTGACCACCATCTCCCTGATCTTGGTCACATTCAGAAGCACATGATTTCTACTGTCCCACTCCACAAAACTGTCCACCAGTGCTCTGTACTCACTCTGTACTCCTCCCTCCCATCACCTACTGTGAGATTACTCGGCGCACTCTGGACAAACACAGGAGGAGAGAGTGGCGTTTCAACAGTGTTCTTCTATTAATATATACATACACCCAACCACTGCAAAGTGATCAGAGAATTTCTGCAGGTGGCATGACTCAAAGTTGTACTGAAAGTCAGAGGTGTACAGTGTAAAGAGCGACAGTACAGTCCCCTGCAGAGCTCCTGTAGTACTCACCACCACTTCAGACAGAACACTGCCCAGCCAGTCAAACTGAGGTCTGCCTGTCAAATAGTCAGTAATCCAGGAGATGGTGGATGTGTCTACCTCCATAGCTTGCAGCTTCTACCTCATAAGAACTGTCTGGATGGTGTTGAATGCACTGGAAAAATCAAAGAATGTGATAATCACTGTGCGACCAGCCTGATCCAGATGTGAGTGGGCTCGCTGCTGCGGGTAGATAATAGCATCATCCACTCTCTGTTGAGGGTCCAGCGATGATTTCACCTGTGGTGTGAGGTGGGCCAGAACCAACCTCTCCAGTATTTTCATCACGTGAGTTGTGAGGGCAACTGGTCCGTAGTCATTGAAGCCAGATGGAGTCATCTTCTAATCTGGCCAGTTGTCACAGACAGGCGGGGGAGATGGAAGTTGTTAATCCTTTCATTGGAGGAGCAGCACTTTGAAGTTAAAGGGTTATGTCCAAGGAGCACACCGGGGGGTAGAGTGGGGGACAGCAGAAGCATTGGGAGCAGTGAAGTTCACAGAGCACATCCAGTCAGTGGACTCAAAGCAGTCCTGTAGTGCCTCAGTGGCCTCCTGAGTCCACATCCTCACAGTCCTTGTGGATGCAGGCTGCCGCTGGAAAATAGGGACATACTTGGGTGTCAGCAATACCAGGTTGTGGACTGATCTGAGTGGGGGGAGGGCAGTGGCACTGTATGCATCCAGAGCTTCTGCATACAGAAATACCAGTGTTTTATTGTCTCCTGTGGGGAAGTTAACATACTAATGAAATTAAGGTAAAGTTTTGTCTAGTGTGACATGATTGAAGTCAACAGTGATGGCTATAAAAGCATTGGGATGATAAGTTTTAATGGTGTGTAAACAATGCTCTCACACCTCTCAATGGCTCGTCGAAACAAAGAGTGTGGAAAATAGCAGAAAATCAAGGGAAAAAAAATTTAAGCAAACACTTAGCCATTGGCACTAAGTCCCCAGTGCCAAAAGTGACAAAAAGAAAAAAAACGGGAGCTGCTGTAACAGGCTGCCACCTAGCACAGTGCTTCAACAAATGATTATGAGCCAAGGATCGGCTGCTGAGTGTGTGTGTCTTACTGCCATAGCTCTTGTGAAGCCGATGACTCCATGTTTGGTAGCAGTGTAGACAGGCTGATGAGGAGAATGGAGGAAGGCTGAGGATAGAAGAAAACAAACATGTCAGCAGAAGAACTAAGACTTATTGAACATAGTTCAACTTAGTTTTAGATATAGTATTTTTCCCAGGAAGTTTATTTCCTACTGTGAGGGATTTATGTGAGTGGAGTAACCTTATTATTTAACAAGGCACCCATCAGAGCTGTTCAAATAACCCAACTGCATCTGCTTCTAAACAGCAGCCTTTCATTTTAACCACTGATCGGGTCATATTTCTTACAGCTGCACCAGGACGTAAAATATACCTGAAATTTCTGTTTCAAGTCAAGTGTTGTATGATGCTTTGGAGCTGAAGTGTTGAGATTGTGGGCCCGGTTCCTTCACGACAAATGAATGAGAATACTAGAGTTTGCCTTTAATTTTACAACACGTGTTTCAAAGCTTAAATGCACATAAAGCTGAAGCACTGGGCCAGGCACAAACACAAAAAATGACAAGAACAGTCAAGCCCAACCATCAAAATATGCTGCTATGACTGACAGTATGGTAAATAAAACATTTCAAGCTGTTAAAACTGTGTATGCAGTTGCAACACAGAGACCATTTAATCAACTATCTGAACAACTGATAAATTCAAAATAGATACCCCAAACACACAGACACACACACACATTATATTTTCTGGATACTTCTGCCCCATTTGGTTTTTGACAACTGTGGACACAGCTGTTGTTCCCAATTTACTTGAGTCTGAAATGTTGAGTCTGGAATTATGTTTATTTTCCTTGATATGGACTTTCGTCCTTAAAAATGAAACTGAAAGTAACACAAAAGTCTGCATGTTTGCTCCCTTTTAGCGACCAGATCTTACAGAAGACTTGGAGAAGTCTTTAGAGTAACCACAGCGCACCAGAAAAAGCATGCAGCTGCGGAACTGGGTCTCTTTTATCATCTGCATAGCATCACAGGCAGCTTCTTGGGGGTCACAGGGTGACTGTTGGCTCTCAGCCAGTGAGACGTCAGAGTTTTAATTCAAACAGCCGTTTGCAACTATGGGGGTCCACAAAGGAATTCTGGTGCACTATGACCAACTGCTGAAAACTCTGGCTCAGGCTTCTGGGGTTACATGTCATCTCCTCCATTGTTCTCTTTACCTGGCTTTAGATCCCATCATTGCAAACATTTAAAGATAACTGGCTGTAGTGTAATTCAGTGCTTCGACCACACAGAAATAAGGCCTACTCAAAACTCAAACTCTGATTTAACAATTTCACAGACTGAGGAACAAAAGAGTTCTTCAGTCTGTTCAATCAAGCCTGTGGGACTCTGAACTTCTGTTAGATGGTAGAAGCTGATATACCTCGAATAAAACATGAGAGGGGTCAAATGTAATTTTACCTGCCAGTGAACATTCTTTTAGTGTATACTGCTTAAAAGTTTGAATCAAGCCATTGACCCACAGTTTGTGAGCAGATACGCAGCAGTCGGGCTGTAAGTTGCACAGGAAGACAACTGAAACATGCACTGATTCCATAAAGCACAGCAAACTTGATGAAAGACTGGAAAACTAATAACATGTTTGTTTGCTCCGAATGACTATAGTCTTCAAAGAAACTAGATGCACTGTTGTATCTTGCCACAAATGTAGTCCATGTGTACTCCATGTTAAAGCAGTGTCCATCCATGACCCAAATATTTGTAGGAAGAAACTGGTTCTATCTGTGTGCTTTGAATGGTAACCGGTGGAGGATATGAGTTCACTATTTTTGTGTTCTTTGAATTAATAATAACACCAACCCACCTATCGATCTGAATACCTGGGTCATCTTCAGGTGCCAATAAAGACAACAGTATAGTATCATCAGAAAACTTGAAAATTCGGAATGTCAGATTGACAGTCATCTGTGTATAATGTCAAGAGTAACATTGAACTCACACTGCACTATGGTGCCCCTAAGTTAGTGACAATGGGAGATGACTATGTCTGATTGACCTTTTTACTATTTGTGAATGGTACCACAAAATTAAATGAGACTTAACTTTAATTTGAATCATTTCTTCCAGGAAGAGCTCTGGCTAAATTGTTCTATGCAAACCGATACGTTTCAAGACTTGATGGGCTGCTGAACCATTACTCTTTCTATAGCTTTCATAACAATAGAGGTTAAGGCTACCGGACAATAATCACTCGGTTCCTTATGACATGCCTTCCTTGATATGTGTGAGGTCTTCCACATCCCAGGGATTATATGAGTGTCAATAGAACACTGAAAAATAGGTTGCCACACAGGTGCAAGTTCAGCCGTAAAATAAAGGCACTGAGATTGTCTGGTCCTGTGGCCTTTCTTCTGATTTAAATGTTTAAAAGTGCTCCACACCTGCCCAAAAGAAACATCCATCCTATTGTAATAGAAAATTCACATCAAATCAAATCAAATTTTATTTATATAGCCCAAATTCACAAAACATTATGACCTTTACTTGAGCTGTTTCCTCTTGATGATCAATGTCTTTTTACTTTTGACTATTGCTATGCACTTGGCTGATGTAACCTCAGAGTTCATGTCCTCACTTGATTATAATCTTCTTGTTGATCCTTATCTGTGCAGCTAGCAAACTTCTTGCAGAAGCAAGAGCAGACAGTTTCCTGTGTCAACCAGACTACAGATGGCTTCAGTGTTCATGTTATTATTCAGTTAAGGTTGTCTCTTATGTTTCCTGTTTACCCGACAGTATAAAAACCTTCTTCTGTCACTATTCAAGGTTGTTCCACTTTGAGCATTCATGCTGACTGTGCAACCCTCTGCAGATCTTACTATTAAATGACCCAAAGACAACTATGGTCTGAGAATCACTTTTTCACCTCTCTAGATACATTTCTACCACACTATCTTACTGCACAAGTATGACAGGATCGAGGATGGTGGTAACATGATCAAAATTATTCCTCTTATCAAACAGAGAGAAGAACTTGTTCAGTTGATTTCCAAATTAACTAATTATTTGCAACTTTATGAGTTGTTGACAGTCCATTCTACTTCATAGTTTCCCATAGGTGTTTGGTGTTGTTGCTTTCAAAAGCCTTCTCTATTTTTGAGTGTCCCCTTTGCTTCCTGTGGTTTCCCTAATAATAATAATTCTCTTTCTGCCTGCTTTTATTATTTTGTATACTTGGTCTTAAAGGCAATTTTTCTCAAATTCATTGCTAATCAATCATTTAATCAGATTTTATTTGTATAGCCCATATTCACAAATCACAATTTATCTTATAGGGCAAGGTGTGACATCCTCTGCCCTTAACCTGTGTGCAGTCAGGATCATTTTGGGATTCAGTCCAAATCACCAACCCTTCTGTTAGTGGACAACTCACTCCACTGCCCTAGCTCCCATAACAATAAAGGTGCTGCCGCCTGCAACAAACTCTGTTTCTCCAGTACATAACATAATTTTCATCCATCACTAGTTTGAAGTATTTCCTTTGGAAAATGTTAGTCAAATGTGCAGCTGTGCAATTAAAGTAGTCAATTTTATTAGCCCATTTGTGACTTGTCACAAAGTAGAGCTGCAGTAAATTTTTCATCTTTATGAAATATGGAACATTATATATGGAAACATTGTAATGTGGCAAGACTTTCAATAAGTCATGACACACACAAACGTGCACTACAGGTGACCTTGTGTAGTTCATCAAGAGTTAAAAACACTGCTTTATGTTAGATGCACTTCATTCCAAGATAGGCGTTGTTTGGTCACAGTTTGTGCCTGTTTGTGGACATTCTTGATTTCTGCAGGCAGACATATCACCTTGTAGATCTAGAACAGTTCAGCCTCTGGTTAGCAGACATATGGTAATCGTTTTTCACTTATCTCACTCGTGATAAAATCTGTGTGTGTGTGTGTGTGTGTGTTCTTTTCATTCCTATAACAAACAAACTTGTCCAAACATGGGCAAACATATTACAAGCATATTGTTTGGGGGAAAGAATGTGTATCTGTGTTTTGTGTGTGTGTGTGTTCATTGAAAAGAGCAAAATAAGATTTTGAAGAAGCAGGAGCTTTTCCATACACATTCATATATGTGCACCATGATTCATTAGTTTCACTTAAAGTGGACATCCACAAACCTGTAGTTGCTGATTTTTGTGTCATGCATTTCACACATAACATAAACTCAAAACTCAAGAGATGTACTGATTTCATAAGAGCATTTGAAAAGTAGAAATGCAATTTATGACCCTTGTGCTTCCAACTAGAACTGAAGAGTCACTAAAGTTCATACTAAAGGTCATGCTCAACACTGTCATTTTAATTTTGCAAATTCAAATGGGTAATAAT